CTAGGTTTTGCACCCAAGACCCGAAACCGAAATCCAAACAGAAAACGACCGAAAACCAAACCCGAAACGAAACTGAGAGAACTCACTGAGAAAAGTTATCCAAGCAGTCCATCAAAGGAACTCTTCGGTGAACAACGTCGCTATAAGACCTAACACAAGACGATACATTTAGTAGGACAATATAACATATGAGATTTCAAAACCTAAACCTAACAAACAATTATGTAAATATGTACTAATTATCCAATCGAAAATTTGATGTAATTCACATTGTACAAACAAACAATAATTCAAAAAAATAATTCAAAAAAATAAAAAATAGCCAAACTTTCTTGATTCAAAAAGGTAAAGATGCTTAAACAGATAGAGAACAAAAACTAGAATACAACAACAAAAAACAAACAAAAATAAACCAAACAATAATCATTTGGAATTCGAAACACGAAAAATTAACAAATAGTTCAAATTAAATAATTCACACCACCGAAAGAGAACGTTCAAATTCCGTAAATTATTAAAACCGAAACCCATTGAATCAAAGTATTTTTACGATTAGAACGCAGGTAATCCAAATTCTTAGCAGACTTTTATAAAATTATAGGATGCAAAGTACTTTGGAATTCCTCACAGATAGCTGTGAGGAATTCTGTCAATTACTTGATCCATTCCAGTGGATTGAGTGCTTGTGTCTTTGATAAGGGACGTCAAATTGGATCCGACTTGTAAAATAACTATTTAATTCGGAGAAGAGTTATTAATGGGCATTGGAAATATCGAAAGAAATTATGGAAAAGTAAGGGTTTTCGAAAAACTCAAATTGTATTTGTGTACGAAACGAAATCTATCTCAATTGAAACGGCGCAAGGAATAAAACTCATAAGCAAAGCTCATGAATCACATCAAATTTCAGCAATCCAACGTCGTTTAGACTCCCAAAAGTTCGTTTTTGCTTTTTTAGGTAAGTTTTAGAAAATTAATATCAAATCATAGAAAAATCAGATTAGGATTCCGTAAATTGGGTTGTTCCCAAAATTACGAGATCTACTAGAATCAGACTCTAACTCGTTTTTGCCGTTTTTGGTAATTTTTATTATTTTCTTAGTTTAATTAGGGTTTTCAGTTTTTTTAGTATAAATAGCTGCCTTAGGACTTTTTTTTGAGAAGAATTTCGAATTTTAATAAAATCTTTAGAGTTTTCTCGATTTTTCTGGTGGATTCCAGAGTTTTCGGTGGATTCCAAATGTTATTTTGTTCTATATGATTAATTCGTAGAAATTAATTCTTTACCGTGCTTCCGTCCTGTACAAATTTGCAATTAAGTCAAGCAAGTTATTGCTGAGAAATGAAATTAAAAAAAAAAAAAAATCAAACTAAAAAAAAAAATTCTACCAAAAAAACAAAGAATCCACCAAAAATAACATATAAACAATATCAATAAAGAAATATAAATAATACTTAATAAAAACGGTGGACTAAAATATTAGAGGGTTTACGCGCAGCGTAGCACCTACTTTTTTTTCGTATATAGTACACACATAAAATAATACAAATATGTAAAAGTATCAAAATGAAAAGATCATTTACAAAATTTGGGTGGATTTTGGAAAAATATTGAGAGAAAATTGGTGAAAATATTAAACAAAGTGGAAATTAATTTAAATTGCACTTTTCATCTAAGCCTTAGTATTTGTTTTTTTGAAATATGTAAAATACCCACATGTATATTTCAATGGTTGTCTTCTTTTCTAATAGTACACAATACAAATATGTAAAAATATGAAAATCAAAAAGATCATTTCCAATTTTTTTAG